TAATGCAAAATTTTGTAATATAGGACTTAAGTCTTGAAATTTTCTAGACAATTAATAATCATTACTAAATTTATATTATGTGCTTGGCACTCTTTCAGAAACTATGCATTGTAAAAAATAAACAAAGTGTTATCTTTCTCTTAGAAGAAAAAGGAATGCAGAAATTACTATTTTGTAAAATGGTCTTAATAAATCTCATGAGAATTTTGAACAGGGAATCTGAGGATAAAAAGCCTATCTGATTTGGGCTTTTTTTTTGAAAATGCCATGGTGGAGTTGGCATTCTTTATGGATCTTAAAAAGTGAGCCATAACATGTGTGGCATGCATGCAAGGAGTCCTTGAAGAACAGAAGTAATCAAACATAACTGGAGTACAGCATGCATGAAGACAGGTGTCAAGAAATAGCTGCAAATGCCAGACCATGGAAGTCTTTGAATGGTAGACCATAGAATTTGGGTTTCTTTTTGGAAGCACTGAGTAACCATTGAAGTGTTTTGACTAGGAAAGAATTGCATATTTTAGGATAAATAATCTGGCAGCAGTGTAGAATGAACTGGAAGTTAAAAGTCAGACTCTATTGTCTGTCCTTAAACCTGCAAACTGAAATCAGTTCTGTCGTTTGTGTTCTGTTTGGTTGAACTCAGGTTTATGGCTTCCTACTTTTGTGGTTGGTATTCCACAATATAAACTTTTTAAATCTTATCTAATAAAATAAATAGCACCATATTCTCTGCTGTTGCATTTGGTTTTTTAGCAGATAAACCAAAATAATTCTTTATATTTTCTTTTATACTTATTCAATGATCCATTGAGATAAGTTTTGTATTCACATTTATCTTAAAAACCTCTTTATGTCTAAAATGCTATATCTGCTGGTTGGCCTCTCTATGTATTTTATTTATTCCTTCTTTCTTAAAATTCTATCTGTCCTGTCTTCTTGAACATCACTCTTTCCTATTTTTTCCCCAAATCTCTTATCATTCCTTTTCCATCCATCTTCTGACCATTCCTTCTACTTTACTCTTAAAGTTCATTCTTTATTTCTTTTCATCTGACTTTATAAATTCTTCCTGAGCAATTTATTGATTCTCAATTACTTCACCTACTATTAAATAGGAAAAGGTTCCTAGTTTTTTTTTTATCCTGTACAACAAAACCATATTCAAACTACTGTTGTAGCTTGTCTAATGTTTGTGTGCAGGTTTAGATTTGATTTCTATCCCCTCAAAAAAATAAATAAATAAAAAGAAGAAGGGTATTGCAGACAGAAAGAACAGCCTGTACTCCACAACAAGACATGGATGAGTATGTATACTGTAACAAATTCAGAGCACCCAGAGTGAGGGACAAGGAGGGAAAGGAAAAGAACAGAAATCACCAATGATATCAACTGGTCTCAGAAGCCATGCAACAAGTAGTATGTTTTTTCTTCCTGAAGACAAATAAATGCACTGGGAACACTCAGAAGGGAGTTGAAGTGATCACATATGCATCTGACATAATTTTTTTTCTGCATATCTACTGTTAATTCACCTGATGGTGTATGGTCTTTCCACTGTCTTGTGTGGTTTTAGTTCATAATCTGGTCTTCTACACATGTTCATAGACCAGGGACATACTAATACATTGGTACTGTAAGCTTTAACTGCTGCTAAATACCTTGATACTCAGACCTGAATTTTTCCTGCAATTGCTTTCTTCTCTCTGCTTCCCCCATCATCATTCTGTTTACTAAGTCCTCTCCATCTTCACCACCATCTATCTCCTTCTTGTCCTTATCCCTTCCCTTTCTCATTCCACGTAGGTCTTCCCATCTTCAGTGATCTTCTCATCTTCAGTGAGACAAGCCTAATTATTTTGTGTAGTTTTTCTTTTTTTTTTGATAATTGCATTAATTTTGACCCTCAGTTCTTCTTTGGTGTTGATCAATTGTAGCAATGATCTGAATTTGTGGAATTTGGTTTCATCTTTATGTCTCTAATTTTAATATCTCAAATGGCGATTTTGATCCTTTAGGAAAACACAACAAACAAAATAAGTTATCAGAGAACCTCTCAGATGACCAAGTTTATACCCTGCTTGAAAGTAACAAAACCTGTTACTCAGTGGATAATGTGTATTTTACTTAATGCTGCAATAGGACTATTAACTTTTTTTAATAGTAGGACTATTAACTTTTAATATAGATACCCTTAATCAACAAAAATTTTCAGATATCATAGGCCAACTTGGACTTTTATTGACTTAAGATCTTATGAAAATTTAAGAGTGGATTGGGGTTAAAATAAAATTACATTAATTCTGTAACATTCTGTTAAAGACCTCAAAATTCAGAATTTAAAGACAGTAAGTTGAATCATGTTTGTTTACTAAGATAATTGACAATATGTATGACTTTAAGATTATAAAATTTTAAGGAACTATTATTACTTAAAGAGCTTGGCAGAACCAGTATCTGATTTGACAACCACAGACCTCAGCTTGTCTCTCCAGCTTATCTCCATTTTCACTTTGCACTTTGAGTCCCTGCTTCTTCTAGCTGCTCCATATGTATGATTGGTGTTCCTTTTTGTACCAACTCAGTGCTCTTTATATTTGGTTTCCAGCTCAGATTGCTTCATGGATCCCTTAATATATGATTGTCTAATCACCCCCTCTGAATTTTTCCTAATGAAATGAAGAGATCATTTCTAGCATGTTTGTCTCCTGTTATGCCCTAGAGGTTCTATAATGTTGCACACTTCACAGAAAGATTTCCAAAGATGAGACACTAGGCTGGATGATGCGTGGGAAGACAGATAATACATAGCAATATACTGGTGTTTAAAACTACCATTTATAGTATATTTCCAATTCTCACAGAAGCCTGATGACATCGGTGATAATATCTATATTTTTCAGATAAAAAATTCTGAAACTCAGAAAGTTTATTTTATGTGTCCAAAATCTCACACATTTTGAAGTTTGGGATATAATATATCTCTAAGAATTCTGTCAGCTTTTCACCACAACACAATGTCCCTTTAACACATGCTCTTTGTATTCAAGGTGTTTAAAATGTAATGAGTGAGTAAGATATTAAATAAAAAGTTTTATGAACATCGATGTAGCAGTGTCCCTGTAGCATGCTCTTTTTAGGTCTTTAGGGAATAGACCGAGAAGGGGAATTGCTGGGTCAAATGGTGGCTCCATTCCCAGCTTTCCAAGAAATCTCCATACTGCTTTCCAAATTGGCTGCACCAATTTGCAGTCCCACCAGCAATGTACAAGTGTACCCTTTTCTGCTAAGTGAAGCTAGCCAATCCCTAAAAAACAAATGCCAAATGTCTTCTTTGATATAAGGAGAGTAACTAAGAACAGAGTAGGGTCCAAGAGCATGAGAAGAAGATTAACATTAAACAGGGATGAGAGGTGGGAGGGAAAGGGAGAGAGAAGGGAAAATGCATGGAAATGGAAGGAGACCCTCAGAGTTATACAAAAGTACATACAAGAGGAAGTGAGGGGAAGGGGAAAAATAATATAAGGGGGACAAACGAATGTCAGTAGAGGGAGCAGAGAGAGAAGAGGGGAGGGGAGGGGAGGGGAGGGGAGGGGGGATAGTAGAGGATAGGAAAGGCAGCAGAATACAACAGACACTAGTATGGCAATATGTAAATCAATGGATGTGTAACTGATGTGATTCTGCAATCTGTATATGGGGTAAAAATGGGAGCTCATAACCCACTTGAATCAAATTGTGAAATATGATATATCAAGAACTATGTAATGTTTTGAACAGCCAACAATAAAAAATAAAAAAAAAATAAAAAAAAATAAATAAGATAAAAAAAAAATAAATAAATAAAAAGTTTTTTGTTTTTTTGAAATGAAACATATTTCTCGGCTGAAGTTCCTATTCCCTAGTTTTTATTTGTTGGCAATACCATAATCTACTGTAGTTACTTTATTTTTTCCCCACCTTAGGCATTTCTGAATTCTCTCACTCAAGTGTCTAAAATTGCCTTGTGTTGAAACCTCCTGATTTCTCCCTTCATAATTTTACTTGCATCTGTTCTTTAGTGTATATCCATTGCCTTTCACTTGAATTACATGTTTTCTACTATCTTACCTGCAGTTCTCCATCTCTTCCAAATGCACACTGTTCATACTAATCTTCGACGTTTGCTAGTCATTTCCTCCCTCAACCTCAAAGTGGTTCTATTACTTTTAAGAACTGAACCCCGCCTATGTCCTTGTCTTGTATCTCATAAGATTTAAATATGAAATTTCCGTAACAGCCAGGTGATCCATTCTTTCTTAGTAGACCCTAATCATCTGTTGCTATCCCAGATTCTAAAATCATTATGCACACTCAAGCAATTCAAGGTGTTGCATAACTACTACAGCCTGTGCAGTATATAGTCAGGTTTTTTCTTTTTTGGATACTGGGGATTGAACTCAGGGGCATTCAACCACTGAGACACATCTCCAGCCCTATTTTGTATTTTAATTTGAGACAGGGTCTCACTGAGTTGCTTAGTGCCTCGCCATTGCTGAGGATGGCTTTGAACTTGTGATTCTCCTGCCTCCTGAGCTGCTGGGATTATAGGCACTCTGCTCTGTGTACAGTGATCTTGAATGTGTCTGATTCATTCTGACATTTACGGTCTAGGCTGAATGTAGGTGGTGTGGGATTGCACACTGCCTGGTATGGTTTTAAGAAGGTACTGAAATAGAGTGGAATACCAAAATGAAATACGTAAGACAACCTGTAATTGCTGTCTTCCCCCATACCTCCACTGTGGCCACTGGGTTCTGAGAAGTTATGATCCACTAACCTTTCCCTGATTTGGGTATCACTTCATGTAGTTTTATGTATTTTATCTTCAATAAGAACCCAGTGTTAATTTTCCTCATCTTTAAAGTTTAAATTGCTATGTATATTACATTAATATTCTAACATTTATTTTGTATGTATTTTTGATACATTGTGAGCCCACCAGTCATTTTTTTTAGTAGGACAATGATAGACTGAAACAAGGAAGAATCACCATAGAAGAATTTAGAGCAATTTATCGGACTTTTGCACACAGAGAAGAAATTGCTGAAATTTTCAATGCATATTCTGAAAACCGGAAAATTCTTTTCGAAAATAACCTGACTAAATTTCTAGCACAAGAACAATCCAGAAATAAGGCTAATAAAGCTGATGCTTCTGACATCATTCAGAAATATGAGCCCATCGAAGAAGGTATGTCTGTATTTCAAAGTTTTATCAGAATACTTATATTTACTTATATGTAAAGTATTTTTGTGAATGATGATGATTAAATTCAAATATTTGAATGGGTCAACTTTATTTTCCAGAATATGCAAAAAATATATTATAGCATGTATATGTACCTTTTAGAAAGCTATAATATGTAGCTATGACTTTCTTTCCTACTTTTTTGTCTAGCTCCTTTCCTTTCTGTTTCTATTTATCTCTAAAGTATTCAGAGATGAATTTAGACATGAAAGTGAGATGAAGATTCTGTTACTCGTACTCCTATAAATCTCATCTATAAGACAAAACATCAAGTTATAGATATTCTTCCATTTTGTGCATTATAGAAATGTACATAAAATTTAAGGTCAATGAATACAAATCTAGAAAGGAAAAATATTATGAAATCACCAGTTTTTCTTTCTTTCTGTTTTTTTAAATAAACATAACTGTTTACAACTGTGTCAGCTTGTTTTCTGTTACTTTAACAAATACCTGAAATAATCAGTTCATAAAAGAAAAGGTTTATTTTGGCTCACAGTTTTGGAGCCTCCAGTCCATGGCTGATTGGCCTTGTTGTTTTGTGCCGGTAGCGAGGCAGTCATTGTGGAGGGAGACCCTCAGGGAGGACTTTACCTGCCTCATGCTGACTGGGAAGTGAAAGAGAGAAAGGAAAAGGAGGAGTTGGGGGTCTTTAATGGGCACACTTCCATGCCTTCCCACTTGCCTCCATCTTTAGTTCCTAGCATCTCCCAATAGTGCCAAGCAGGGGACTAAGCCTTTACATGTGGAGCTTTGAAGGCCATTTAAGATCTAAACCTCAGCAACATTTCATACATATTTTTAAAAGATTGCTTTTTCTTCTTTAAAAAATTTAAATGTGTTTTTAACTGATATGTAAAATTTAAAAGTTGTACATATTACCATGTAATGTCTGGTGCCTGTAAACACTGAGTGATGTTTAAATCAGGTTGGACAGATCTATCCATCCAAACATGTATCATTTCTTTATGGTGAAAACTTTCAAAATCCTTTCTTCTGCTTATTGAAATGTACAGACAATTATTGCTGTCTATAGTTATCCTGTGCAGTAGTACACCAGATTTTCCTTTGTTTTGAATACATAGTCATTTGGTTTAAATTAAATGATCATTTAAGCTAACGAGTTGTCATAATTTGTGATATCTGTTTCATCTTTCAATAGGTAAGACACTTCAAATTGTTTCATTTATGACCATCTTAAACCAAATAATAGAGAAATAATATAATAAAATCTTTACATAATTGTACAATAAGTATTGTTGGAGCATAATGGTAATGCTCTACAAAAGTTAACTGACAATACAGCTTAAAATATTCTCTTAATAGGGAAGATATTAAAGTTCAAGTTCTTCCTTTGAAAGTTGATTTAGACTACCAATGTTTAACACAGGGTAATATGGATTCTATGAAGACCAAACTTGTTTCTTCATTCAATCATTCATTTATAATTTATTCAAATAGTTATTTGTGGCAAGTAAGTGTGGTTCTAGACTAGAGGCTGGGGATACAGTGGAGAAGAAGGCAACTAGTTTTATATTCCTGATGAAGTTTGGAGGGAGACTGAAATAAATACTTAAGCATATAAAAGTCATTTAAAAAAGTGCTAAGTGCTATGAAGAAAATAAAACAGAGAAGGTGATAGAGAATAGGTGATCTGGGAGGTCTACTTCAGATTGCGTGTTTAGGAGAACCTTGCTGAGGTATGATGTTCAGGCTGAGACTTAAATGACAAGAAAGAACAAGTCATATGGCCAAATGGGAGACATGTTGTGTCTGAGGTCAGGGGATGGGGGGGGGGAGTGGGCAGTAAGGGGAAGGGGAGAAAAGCATTGGATGTGAGTTGGAGAATTCCAGGAACAGGAAAAGGGCAGTGTAGTCAGAGCTTGGGAAATGACAGGGAGGTGAGTTTGCAGGGATAGGCAGAGATCAGATCATGTAGGGTCTTGTAGGCCAAAATTAAGATTTTGGTTTCATGACAACATCACACAGAGATTTTGGTTGGAAGCGTTAGTAGTAATGTGACTGAGAGCAGTGCTAGTAGCAGTTTGGCCCGAGCATTATTAAACTTCTGCAGGTTTGCTACAAGATAAAGAGCTTGCATCAGGATGGTCAGCAACAGTAGTGCTAAGCATACCCAAGAAGTTGAACTGATGATGACCTTCTCTTCCTCTCCTTCTGCACCATGTCCCTGTCCTCCTCCCCTCTCCATTCCCCCTCTTCCTTCCCCCTCTTCTTCTTTCTTTCCTTCCCCTTCCCCTACTCCATCTCCTTCTTCTCCTCTTTCTTTTTCTTTTTCATCTTAGAAAGACTTTCTTTAAAGAAGTAGTGAATTGACTTATATTCTGGCTCAAGTTCTTTATGTGGTTGCCCCCTAGAACCAGCCAGTTTTCAGATGGGCACTTTCAGTAGCATTGAGCTGGTGAGTACTACAAAACAAAAATTACCTTGGCAGCCTTACCTTCAGGTGGGAAATTAAAAGATACAAACAGATATTGGGATAGTGGCAGTGACACCTTGGATTGTGTTTGCATTTTGACCCCAACATAATATTTTATCTTTTGAGCTTTAGACTATGTTAGGCACTTTCATACACATCCAGCACCTTGCATTTTATTTACATGATTATTGATCACTTTACTCTTATTAAAGCCAACTTGAATTATGATCTTATGGTTCCAAATGCTGCCAAGCTTCTCAATACCATGCCCTGTTGGTATGTGATGTACACAGAATGAAGTTTGTAAAAAAATCTATGAGAATAATTCTCATTTCTATGTGAGGATTTTTTAGGACAAAAAATGAGTTTGTCTTCTATTCTGTTATAAAAGATATTTACTTACTTGTTCCACAGTTGAAAAGGGCTATAGGCCAATGAATGCTGATTGCACAGGGAAAAATAATAAATTAATGCAAATCATCACTGTTACAAAACACGATACATTTGTTCTGTATGCTCACACATTCCTAAATTTTCATGGCTTTGAAATAGAGGGTTTGCATACCTATAAAATTTTAATGTATTTTTATCTAGTTTTGGGTTTTTCGTTTTTAAAAAACAAAATGGTAATAGCATTTTGGAAGCTGGCCTTTTCACTTTTATGATGTCATAAATATTTACTTTTGTCACTGTATATTTTTATGACACATTATTTTTAATGGCTATTTACAATTGTACCATATTTTGATCTTTAATTTGTTTTCTTCTATTTATTTTGCTTTTATAAATAATGCTTATGTGAGCATGCTTGCACATTGATCTTTGAGTCTCTACACTTACAGGATAAATTCCTAGGAATAAAATTCTTTGCCAAGGATCACACTCTAGTCTTAAATTCATTTCAGCTTTCCTTTTGTGCCAAACTGAACCATGAATGGCAGCAATAACAACGGACATTTATAGAGCTAATACATAGAGATAAGTTCTCTAATTATCCCCATTGCATAGATACAGAGAAGTTAACAAGTTCAAGGTTATAAACAAGTATGGATTTGAAACCATATTTTCTGGTTCCAGAGCCCATGTTCTGCTTAAATAGATAATTTTGGTACATAGTATATTGAATAAAAAATGTTCAGAGATAATTTTCTGTAGATGATCATATGTAACAGCCAGTGATTCCATTCTTAGGCATGCATGAAACAGAAATGAATACATATTTGCACCAAAATTCTTGTTCTCATTGTTTATAGTAGTACTATTTGTGTAACCCCAAATGGGAAATTGTCTAAAGGTTCATCAAGATTATAGGTAAATACACTGTAGCATACTTACACAATGGAATTCTATGCAGTATTAGAAATGAGCCTTGTATAACTATTTGAAATTAAAGCAATAAATTTTAAAAACATAGTGTAGAACAAAAAAAAACCTGGCATAAAACACACACTGTATGAGTCCATTCATATAAAGTATAAAATCCAGAACAAACTAGTATATGTTCTAGAATCTAGAACAGTAGATTCATTTGAGTGGAGGTGCTCACTGGGAGGGGAGTTGGAGGCAGGTTTCTGGGGTGTTGTAATGTTCTGTCCTTTGACCTGGGTGCTTGTTACCTACATATGTAGCTTGTAGATGCTCACTGATCTATGATAGATGTACTTGTGTTTATTTATAAAATGTAAAAAAACCCTGAGATAATAAAATAATATATATATTCAATCCCCAGCACCACAAAAAAGAAAAAAGAAAAAAAAATATATTTTTTCTTTTTTCTTTTTTGTGGTGCTGGGGATTGAACCCAGGCCTTGTGCATGCAAGGCAAGTACTCTACCAACTGAGCTATATCCCCAACCCCCCAAATTAATATTTTAAAAAGATACTCTATTGGATAAATTTATAAGTGAGATGTAATGTTTTATGTTACTAATAGTATTTCTACAATCTTTTTGCTTATTTTTTATAGTTAAGAAAGCACGACAGATGTCATTTGAAGGTTTTACAAGATTCATGAGTTCATCTGAGTGTCTACTATTTAAGCAGGAGTGTACAAAAGTTTATCAAGATATGAGTCATTCATTAAAGGATTACTTTATTTCAAGTTCACATAACACATATTTGGTATCTGATCAATTAGTGGGACCAAGTGACCTTTGGGGATATGTAAGGTATTTATTTTGATTTTTAAATCTGTTATATTCAAAACACCTAGAAGCTCCTGGTAGTATCTATCTCAGTTGGCAAGAGTGCAGAGTAAAAAGCAGTCAATGCAAGGTTTATTTATATGAATCTTGATGATCCAACCTTTGGATAAAGTGGCAACATAATTTATTGTATATATTAGTATCCTATACTTTCCTTCTAATCTTGCCTGACCTCTTCTCCATGGTTATGGTACTTCTAAAGTGTCCTGAACAATTTGGATACTTCTTATATGAGTACATGACTTCTTATCATACTTGACTAGTCCGAACATACTAGATTTTAACAGAGGTCATTAACATTAATTCCCAGACTTCAGGTCACAATGCTGTAAAAAAGATAACACATAGTACAGTAAATTGTGTTACTTGGCATTCATAGACACTGGTTCTTGTAGATTTATATGTCAAATAATTTACATAGATTAAAAGTAATCCATACTGCATCTCCAATTTTACATCCTACAGTGTATCCTACTGCTAATGCTGGACTTCAATTTAGTCTGTGCACACAGATAGAGTAGTGGAAAAAATTTTCAAAGATTCTACACTCATCTGTGTATGAATATGTAGGAATAGACAGATAAAAATTAGATAAATAGATATCTTCGGGACCCAGTTGAGTCATGGAGAAAAGGAATGAGGGCAACATGATAGAAAGCAGCATGGGTTAGAGGGTCTGACTTTAGATGAAGTGGTTAGGAAGGGTTCCTCAATTAACTTTCATGATGATAGAGGGAGTCATGGAAAGATCTGAGAGGAAGGTCATGTGAAACAGAAGAAATGAAAAGGGCTTGACATGTTCAAAAGAGAGGAAGACAGCACATGTGGCTGGAAACAAGTAAATGGTGAATGAAGGGAGATGAGTTTAGTAGGAGGACAGGTTCAGGTTATGAAGGCTGTCCTGACCATGGAAAGGAGAATGGGTTTTATTTAAGCTTCAGTGGGAAGCCACTGGAGTGGGATTTCCCTTAAGATAGTGTCATGGTTTGACACGTGGAGGAAGGACTGATGGGGCAGGAGGGGAGGTTGAAGGTGATTTGGGAAGGTCTGTGACAGTCCAGGTGACAATGATATGTAGATGGTGAACTCAGGAGGCAGCACCTGAGACAATGGTAAGTGGCTGAATGTGAGATGTTTGGAAAAGGTAAAGCCAACAAGGCTGACTAGGTGAGGTGAAGGGAGGCAGGAGGGAGAGAGAGGAAATCAAGATTTTGGGCCCAATAGTCAAGTGTACAAGGATACTGTGGACTGAAATCATGAAGCTTGAGAAACCAGCTCTTTGCTGTATGAGGTGCTCTACCACAGAGCTAGAGCCTTTTTCATTTTTTATTTTGCAACAGGGTCTCATTAAGCTACGCAGTCTGGCCTTGAATTTAGGATCCACCTGCCTCAGCCTCCTGAGTAGCTATGATTACAGACTGGAGATTATCCTGCTGGTAGAGAGCTAAAGATTGTTCTCTGGCAACATCCCAGAGGACCGATACTCTATATTGATGAAAAGGGCAAGACAATTTACTTTGATAATCAGCCAAAAGGAGGGCGAAGCAAGCATCCTTTCATGGAAATTAAGAAACTTTACAAATAAACATTGCTTCTTTTTCAATTTAAAAGTCTAAATCGTGCACGAATAAATCTACATACCAAGAAATGTGCACATTTAGAACTCTGCAAAAATAGCCCAATCTAGGACTTATGCCCCAAATTAGGGGACCACCTTACTTGCCTGTGGAAATACTAATGAATCAGATGATTCTTGTAAAAGTGTTCTAGCTTCATTCCTACAACCCAAAGGCAAGTGGATAGCAAAGCTCAGAAGTTACACATTATAGAGCACGGCCCCATGCCTGAGTACAACTGTGCTTTTAAAAAAGAAAGAACCCCCAAAACCTCAGAAAGAGTTCATTAATCATTTAATTTTATATTTTATGTGGGTGAAAGCTCCAAAAAAGATAAGATTCACCAATTCTTTTCTCCAACGCCCTGCCTCCTTGGATTCTTTCATCTATATTATTCCCAAGGGAACAGAAGGTCTCTTCCCCCTACCCCTGAATTTAGCACATTGTCTTAGTGTCATAATTGCTTTCTCTTTTCTCAGCTGCACTCCTACCTAAGTACTGTTTGAGTCATCTCCCTAGAAAGGGACTAAATATGATCCCTAAAGAAGCGCTAGATCTTCAAGTTACATTTTCTCCTAGGTCCTTTGGTGCTCTGTGCTTCTGTTTGGAAAAATTACTGTTTTATATAAGCACTTGGTGCTCAGACCACCCTTCTCCAGGTTATCATGACTTAGAGCAGGGTTTCTCAGACTCCTTACTTTTTGAATCAGTTGATTCTTTGTTGTAAGGGGGTTACTCTGTACATTGTAGGATGTTCAGCAACATCCCTGGACTTTCTCCACCTTCAAACCTCCCCTTCATCCCTGGTTTGTAGACATTTCCAAGCATCTCCTGGGAGACAAAAGCATCCAACTGAGAATGAGAGGACTATAGACTGTGGGTTGATTTAAAATGCCCCTTGGAAAATAGATGTTCACCTGGGTTTCCATGGGAAAATAGTTCTTGTGTGTGGCAAGGGAACTGCTTTAACCTCTTCTCTAATAGATGAGCATCCGTTCTAAGATCCTAGTGCTTCAAGTCAGCCCTCACTTGATTCAGGTCTATCTTTTCCAAGACTGTATTTTAGACAGCCACTTTTGTCTGTCTTCTACTTCTCTTCCTAACATTCTAGGGTTCACATTCTTTTCTAATATAAGCACAATAAATATTAATAGTCAACCCCAGGTCAAACAGTTATTGTGAGCCTGCTCTTGTGGAACTAGAGCATTAAGAATAGGTAGAGATTTCAGGATTCTGAGTTCACAGCACTAATCATTTCACTGTGTTGGTGGTGCTGGCACCATGGTTGGCAAGTTGCCCCACATTGGGCTGTGCCCACAAAACACAAGAGAAAAGTTCAAGGCAACCATGTGTGTGTGTGTGCCCAGATCAAAAGTTCATTTTATTCATTTTATTGCTATATATATATTTATTCCTATTTCAGAAATCACTGAGACCATTTAAAAAATAAATTAATAAATATTGGTGAATGCTGGAAACAAACAAACAAACCTATTTCAAAATAGCACACAATGACCTGCTGTCTGTTGGCAGTTAAGACTTTGAGACCTATTTGTGTATATTCATTATTAATAAGTGGGGGGAAAATCTGAATGCAATCAGCTCCAACAGACACAGTGTAAATAAAAGTGTGTGTGGTACAGCATTTTGTCATGTTCCTCTTACAAGGAAGAATACTGAAAATTCATTCAAACCTAGACTTATAAACCTAAGACAGAATTTATATCCAGGTCAAGAAACTGAGATTTATTTGAGAGGTGGAAAAATGAAATCCAGTTTAAGACATTAGAAGATGTAGAAATATAAATTTCCTGACTTTGGATAGAGATGTGAACTTGGCATATTCTGAGGCTGTCAGTTCAAAGTTTCCTCCCAGTGAAATCATGAGTCAAATTGACGTAGATCAGCAGGTATTCAGGTTTCCTTTACATACATTTAAAATTTTTTTCCAGCTCTTACTTGGATTAGAATTGGAGATGGCCTTACATAAAATGGTAAGAACATGCAGTTTGTTTACTGAGCTGTCAAGCTCTCCATTTTTGACTCTCTCCAGCCAACATTCTATCCAGGGGGAAAGTATTGCCATGATGTGTCTCTCTTTTTCCCTTCTCTTTCCACTCTTGTATTCCCTTCCCCAAAACCTGATATGAAGAGTGAATCAAATAAACCTTATTAATATAGCATAACATTCAGGGATGAATATGAACATTATTGCATGTCAATGATATTACATCTAACAGTAAATATCACCATAAGCAAAATTGTTTGGGTTGGGAGCAGGGGTGTTTGGTACCTACAACTACGGAGGCAGGTATCTTTTTTCTTATAGTAAACTAATCCTTGAATGGAGAGCAAAACCAAATCAGTTGATTAGAAAAGAGCAGTTACCAAGTTGGAGCACACAGGTAGTGTGTTCTTCCTTCAGGATGTAAATTTCTAGTGACTCAAAATTCACCTGTATTGGGCATTAATTTGTGCATTTACTGTGAAATAATGAAAAGTCTTTTGAATATGTTGACACTATATGCACCCACCCACTTCCCTACACATTGCTAAGGGTCCAGGAATGACGCTGTGTCTTGCTTATGTCTCACTAGTGCCCTGGTGAAAGGATGCCGTTGTCTGGAAATTGACTGCTGGGACGGATCACAGAATGAGCCCGTTGTGTACCACGGTTACACACTAACTAGCAAGCTTCTGTTTAAAACTGTTGTCCAGTCGATACACAAGTATGCATTCATGGTATGTGCATATCTTTGCTAAATTATGGTTATTTCAACAGAATCAACTTGTTTCAAAATCCTTACGTAATGCTTGGCCTTACTTTAGAGAGGTGATATTTTAAATTGTGGTTTATGATCAATTAATAGGCAATAAAAATCCATGTAATGTATAAAGACAGATTTATCAAAATGAAACAGGCTGTAAGGTACATGTCGTTTTATAGAACTTTTTGTTTAATCCTGTGTTTGTGGAAGTATGTGTGTATGTGTATTTGTTAAGGTATAAAGTATATTTTCACTATGGGTTATGGCCAAAAAAGTTTGAGAAATACTGATCCAGATAATAGCAAACATTTTACCAATATTTAACTCTTTTATTTTCAAGGCAAAAACGTGTCAACAATGTATTATCACAATTAGTGAAATTATGTATGACTACAATGGCAATAGTGAAGAATGTTCATAAGTTTCTTTCAGATTTTAAATTTATTATTCAATTTATTAAAGTTACAGATTTAAAGATCTAGTTTTTTTTTTTTTTTAACCAGAGATTCAACCCAGGGTGCTTAACCACTGACCCACACGCCCAGCCCTTTTTATTTTTAATTTTTTTGGTGGGGAGGAATACTGGAGATTGAACACAGGGGTACTAGACCACAGAGCCACGTCCCTGGCCTTTTTTTGTATTTTATTTAGAGACAGGGTCTCACTGATTTGCTTAGCACCTTGCCTTTGCTGAGGCTGACATTGAACTCACTATCCTCCTGCCTCAGACTCCAAAGCTGCTGGGTTTACAGGTATGCACCACTGCTACGGCAAAGATCTAGTTCTTTATGGAACTAAATTCACCTTTCATGTCCTGATTTATAAATTGGGCAGATTTAGCCATCTCTATTTTAAGGAGTTTTGAATAATACTTGGTCCCATTTATAAACCTTGCCTAATTATATACCTTCACACATTTTAAATTATTTTGTAAACAATATGCTTGATTTTTTTAAGAACTTCAATTGTAGTATAATTGTAGTGCAGTCAAAGAGATTTAACAATATCTTCTTAGAACTTAAACAGTGTATACCTAAAAAATTAAACTTATAAATTTAATAAACAAAAAGTTTCCTAACTCTGCAATGAATTACATAATCTGTAAACATAAACTTAAAATCACAAACTTATGTCAATTGCTACATATTATCCTAAAAGGGCATAAAATAAATATTCTTAAGATATAAATATCAAATAATTTCTCTGTTGCTATAAAAACATTGATAGTATTGCATTGTCTTAACTATCCAATTTCTGATAATTTCTAATTTTTTTCTTTTTGTAAATTAGCTTTTTATTTAAATTTACTTTTTTTCATTATAATTATACATATTAGTAGAATTCATTGTGACATATTTGTACATGCACATAACAATTTGGTCAGTTTCAGTCCCTAGGACCTCCCCTTTCCTGTCCTCCCTAAATTCATACCTCTTCTCCAACCTTGCCAACTAACACTAAAATATCCAACTACTTATGTGTCATTTCCTTTTGGATTTTGAATGGGCTTATTGAACTAACCATATTTAAAAATTGAGCTCTGATGTTTCTCTATGTCTGAGTCCTGCTCTTCCCATTACCTTCCTCATCTCAGTTGATGGCACCTTTCAAATGCTCAAGCCCAAATCATTGTTGTCAAGTTTAGCTCTCCCGGATTCCTTTCAGACCCCTCAATCAGTTTCTTCATGGCTGTACTTTCAAAATATATTCTGAACTTGACTCCTTTTCATAGTAACTAACTGTCATTGTCTTGATAAACCACCAGCACCCATCACTTGGACTACCATAATAGCCTCTTATATTTTGGCTCCTCTTCTTCCTTTTGTGTTTCATCTCAACACATTTAGTCAGACTTTGTAGCAAGTCCGATCATATCATCTCCCTTCTCAAGTTGAACAAAGTATTCTATGTACATATAAAAATATGGCATAATGAATCTCACTATTTGTGTGATTGAAATGCGCAAATAAAAAAAGAAAGTAAGAAAAAGAATCTGCTATTTAACTGTAAAAAATAAAATAAAAGCTAAAATCCATACCATGACTCACAAGGCCCTGCATGACTGGTTTTCCATAACCCTTCTCAACTCTCCTGCTACTGTAATCCTTATTCACTCCTTAGTCTTTTTCAGACACATCTCAAAGCCTCTGCACTAGCTATTCCCTATATAGGAAATACTCTTCCAAAATATTTGCATGATATATTCCTCATTTAATTCAGTGTGAGTAACAGAAGAAATAAAAGGAGACAAAAACCATTTTAAAATTCAAATACCTTGTAAGGATGGAAAGCCTATAACTTCTAAGACTCTAAAGAATAAGAGATGAGCAATTAGACAAGTAGAAAAAGGAAAAAAAAATCAAAAGTGGAATGGAAGAAGTAACATTACCTCTATTTGCAGATGACAGTATTCCACCAAAAAAAAAAAACAACTGTTACAGCTAATAAGTACGTTCAATAAATTTACATGATACAAAATAAATATACAAAAATCATCAACATTTTTATACACAAATAATGACCTTAACTGAAAAAGAAATTTAAAAATTCCATTTATGGTAGCATAAAAATAACTAGGAATAAATTCAACAAGGAAGTGAAATATCTGTACACTCAAAACTACAAAATACTGATGGAAGAAATTGAGGAAGACACAAATGAAAAGATATTTCATGTTGATTGGAAGAATTAATATGGCTAACATACTTGTTACTCAAAGCAATATGTAGATTCAGTGCAACTCCTATCAAAATCCTATGGCCTTTTCCTCCAAAACAGAAAAAAATACTAATTTATTTTTTTGGAACTTGAGAAGACCATAAGCAGCAAAAGCAATTCTGAGAAAGAAAAAAGATGGAGGTATAGCACTTCCTCACTTAAAATTACATTACAAAATATAATAATTAAAACAGTATGGCTCTGGCATAAAAAACAGACATATAGACTAGTAGAATGGAACAAGGGGCACAGAAATAAATCCAAACACACAGAGTCAACTAGTTTTTGACAAGGGCACCAAGAGGACAAAATGAAGGAAGGGTACTCTCTTTAATAATTAAACAGTCTGGGAAGAGAAGAGTTCCACATGCAAAAGAATGAAACTGGACCTTTATTTTACAGCATACACCAAAATCAACTTAAAGTGATCAGAGACCTAAATATAAGATTAGAAACTATACCCAAAGAGAACAAAATATTTAAAGAGAAAAAAGGAAAAAATCCTGGATGTTGGCCTTGACAGTAACCTTTTGGGGTATTACACCAAAAGCTGAGGCCATAAAAGAAACAGTAAATAAATAGGACTATATCAAATTTAAAAACTTCTGTACAGTGAAGGAAACAACTAACAAAATAAAATGGCAGCTTACAGATTGGGGGACACACTTGCAAAAACCATATATCAAATAAGTGGTTAATATCCAAAATTATAAAAATTCATATAACTCAATACTGGAAAAATAAATAGCCCTATTCAAAACCAAGCAAAACCCCTGAGTAGACGTATCTCCAGATAAGGCATAAAAATGGCCAACATGCATACGAAAAGGTGCTCAGCATCATTAATCATCAGGGAAATGCAAGTAACAACAACAATGGGACATTTCTTCACACATGTTAGAATGGCTTTTATCAAAAAGTCAAAGGGTAACAAATATTGATGAGGATATAAGGGGAATTCCTATATACTGTTGGTGCAGATTGGTGCATCTACCATGGAAAACTATATGGATATTTCTAAAGAAATGAAAAATAGAAGTAGCATATAACCCAGAAATCCCTGTTCTGGGAGTGTTCCAAAAGGAAATGAAATCACCACCTCATAAAGCAGCCCACCCCCCATGTTATTTGCAGTATTATTCACAGTGGCCAAGATACAGAACAACATAAGTGTTGGTCAGAACAGGTGAAGGAACTGGCATGTATTTGCAATAGGATATTATTTATCCCTGAAAAAGAATGGGATCTTTCCATTTACCACAATGTGGATGGACCTGCAGGACATTATGTTAAGTGCAATAAGTCAGAAACTGAAAGAAAGATAATACACTGATTTGGAGAATCTTAAAAAATTCAGCTATACAGAGATAGAGAAAAAAAGCAGCATGGTTACCAGGGATGGAATTGGGGATGGAATAATAAAATGTAGGTCAGAGGATACAGAGTCATAGATATGTAGGATGAACAAGTCTAGACACATATTGTATCCTGTGAGGACTACAGGAAGAAAAACACTGTTATTGGGATTCATGCTAATGAATAGATTTTAACTGCTCTTGTCACAAAAACAAACAAACAAAAAATTGGGTAACAATGTGAGATGATGGATATTCTAATTTGTTTCACCATAGTAACCCTTTTACTATCTGTATATATCTCTCAACTCACTGTGTACCTAAAATATGCAAATAAAATTTATGAAAAAAAAGAACAAGTTTTGAGATTTTAAAAAGGCTTTGAATAGCAAAGTCCCAATGAGACTTCTCAGTTGAACATAGTGACTCAGTTTGGCAATCTTTGAAGTTTGGACTTCCCACTCAAGATAGTCACCCTTGATATTTGGGAAAGAGAAAAAATTAAATATACTTGTAGTTATTGCTAAGAAATAACCTTGGGTCTAGTTATTGGCACATGTAGTTTATAAGAAATACATATATATATATATATATATATATGTGTATAAACTGGGCATAGTGGCACATGCCTGTAATCCCATTGGCTTGGGAGGCTGAGACAGGAGGACCGTGAGTTCAAAGCCAAACTCAACAATTTAGGGAGGCTCTAAGTACCTCAGTGAGACCCAGTTTCTAAAAAAATAAATAAATAAAATAAAATGCCTGGGAATGTTGCTGAGTGGTTAAGCACCCCTGGGTTCAGTCCCCAGTACAAAAAAACCAAAGAAATACATATATTCTAAGTTTTGTGGAAGCATGTAGTAGCACAATCAGCACATGAAAGAGAAAAAAGAATAGATGGATCCCACTATCCTCTTTAAGGACATGCCCCTGGTACCTGAAAGGCCTCAACTAGCCCCCACCACCTAAGGATTTCTCTACCTCTGACAGTGCCAAAATGGGACCAAGCCTCTGCACATGAGGGGACATTCAACATCTGAACTATAGCGGACAATGTGTTTTTCTTTATAAAAACTGTATTATAGATAACTTTTTATAACAATAGTGTATGTAACTCTACTAGTGATCTGTTTCATCTCTTTATATAGATATGGTATAATTAATTTAAACAAGAATCTATTGATTGATGTTTTAGATTTTTTTCCCTATACTTTTGGAGCAAATGTAATAATTTTTCTTTTCATGCAGATTTAATGGTTCTGTCTTTTCAAATGTAAAAGTACTTTAAAGAATACTTAATTATGATGCAAGGGTACTGAACATTAGAAGTGAGTGTAAAAATAAAGTGCTTATATTAATCGTATTAAACTTGTTTAAAAGTTCTGATTAATAATCATAGTATTGGTTAATTTTTTAGACATCTGAGTACCCAGTGGTGCTCTCTTTAGAAAACCACTGCTCCTCTTCCCAGCAAGAAGTGATGGCAGACGTTTTGCAGACTACTTTTGGAGATTCCCTGCTTTCTGACCTGCTTGACGATTATATAGACAAACTACCTTCACCAGAGGTAACATTTTGCCTAAGATGCTCAGGTTAAGAGAACAAACCCACAAATCATGTTATTCTCTTATTGGCCTTTGAGACGAGGTTAGAGACCAATGAAAATGAAAATGTTTAGTTTTGATTATTTACAGAGACTTATTTTTGCCTGTGTTGCCTAGGAAATGTTCTTGTGAATATGGAGGTGAATAAAGAGAATATATAAGTAAAGAAAATGTATGGACATATATGTAAAACCCACATTGTGATTTCATATCTTATTTCATGGGTCCACAATTTCAAGGCAATTAATATACCCCAGGTATTTGATATATTTTATGGGCAAAAAGCAAAGAAAGAGGAAAGAAGTCCAGAGAATAAACAATACATATCCAATATCTCAACAGTTAAGGAGCAGAGTCTGCTTTATAAATCTGCTCTTTTCAGTTTCCTGAATCTAGGACCTCTTTCTGTCAAATTTTGAGCATATTCAAGTATTTGGTTTGCAAAAATACCTTTCCTTTGCCACCAGGACTTCACTTCTTTTCCGATTGTGATTACCTTCTTTCACATCCCAGATTTTCATATTCTTATCTCCTTGCAACCTATCCAGTCTGGCTTCCTCTTCCACCGGCTCCAGAATTCTTATGGTCTCCAAAGACTTTCTTACTAATAAATTCTAGTGAACTCAATTCAGTCTTCAACTGGCTTGTTCCCTCAGCCACAATCAGATGGGTCCCTTACATTTCTTACTAAGGTAGATTTTACACCATAAGGCCATAAAAGATAAAGTAAATAAATGGGACTATTTCACATATAAAAACTTCTGCACAGTGAAGGAAACAACCAACAAAATGAAATGGCAGCCTAAATATTGGGGGCAAACATTTGCAACCATATACCAGATAAGAGGTTACTATCCAAAATTTATAATGAATACATATAGCTCAATACTAGAAAAATAAATATCCTCATTAAAAAAACCCCACAAAATCTTAGTAGATGTATCTCCAGAAAAGGCTTAAAAATGGCCAACAGGCATACAAAAAGGTGCTCAGCATCATTAAACATTAGGGAAATTTTATTTCCTTCTCATGAAAATATGACGAAACACTTTGCCTTGGCTGTAACAATGCAGACTTACTCATAAAGGTGTGATTGTGTCTCTCTTTCAAAACTGTTTCTACAGGCACTGAAGTTCAAAGTACTAGTTAAAAATAAGAAAATAGGAACCCTAAAGGAAACTCATGAAAGGCATGGTTTCAATAAGCATGGTAAAGTGGAGGAATTGGAAGAAGAAGAAGAACAAGAGCAGGAGGAGGAAGAAGAAGTGAAAGAAATAGAATCATATGATAATTTTTTGACAAGACTCAATCAAGAAAAGGAAATGGAGGAAAAAAAGACACTTCCAATAACACTTTTCAAGAAAAAGAAGGTGACATGATGCATTGCGAGACTCTTACAAGTGATTGAAAAATATCTAATTTCTTATTGGTGGAGAATTGAAAAGACCCTAGAAAGAAGAATCATTTCCTTCCATATGAAACCTGGGATCTATCATTTAAAATTTACTTTGAAAAAATAGACAGTGGAGAAGAGTTATATCTTGGTCTGGGGTTGTGGCTCAGTGGTAGAGCACTTGCCTAGCATGTGTGAGGCATTGGGGTTCCATTCTCAGCACCCCATAAAAATAAATAAAATAAAGATATTGTGTCCACTTTAACTAAAAATATATATATTTTTAAAAAGAGTAATCTCTTCAATATGTGGCTCAATGGTTAGAGTGCTTTATTGGCATGCATTAGGCCCTGTGTTCAATCACCACAGCTGTAAAAAATAAAAAATTAAAAAATAAACAAAAAGTAAATAAAATTAAAAATAATTATTTATTATGTTATTTCTAATTTTTTTCACTATTGTCACCAGTTTTTATGAGCTCTTATATACGAGGCACTGTGCAAAGTACAAAAGATAGAGATAAACCACATAATTTCTCCACCCTCACAAAGAGAGAAGAAAGTATTTATGAAATGTTGTGTTTTAACTATACATATTAGTGTATCAAAAGAAGGTATATTAGTTTGCATGTGGCTTGAAACTAGTCCAACTGGGTTAACTAAAAGGAGAATTAGGTAATTGGCCCACATAATGCCAGGTTCAGGGAAAGGAATTTTATTTTGAGGAGTGCCTTGGTATACTGTCTCAATTAAGGGCAACAGGATTTTATTTCTTCCTCCATCTTTGGTCTCACTTTCTCTGAATTTGTGCAAAACTATTGTGAAAATTCAGCTTTATATCATTTCATTTCAGGTTCAAAGGCAGTAGCATGTCTATGAACACCTTAACACAGTAGGCAAAATTTCATTTTGTACATCAGCTATGAGCTGGTTATGTGCACATTTCTGAACCAATTACTGATTCTAGGGGGATGAAAAGCTCTTACTAGCTAGGGCCAACCTGCATGATCCTTATTTAAACACATGGATCAAGCATGATCGAGGGATGTGTCATTGTGTCCTGTGCCCATCCTCCCCCTCCTACCCCCACCCCCACACCCTGTCAAACTTGGAAATATAGAGGAATAAGTCCTGGTCTATAAAAGAGCAAATGCTATTCCAAAATGTTAGAGGAACCTGGAAATATGCTTACTCATGACTAAAACTTCTAAATTTACAAAATTCATGAGAATAAACTGAGATCTTTGAGAAAAAGAAAATAGTAATAATTGTTATCCTTAATACTTATTATATTAATTTGAATTTTAAATTTATTTAGGCTAGCTGTATTTCCATTAAATATTATATTCATAAAAATAATCACATGACTTAAACCAAATACTTTTTGTGGAAATAATCTTATGAAAAGAATAAAATGATCTATTTGAAAGTATATTTTCTTGATTGGAAAAGGAAATTTTCAAATGATTAGTGTAAAAATGTGAAATTACTACATTTTATTTTTAGGTCAGGAAGATAAGAATATCTTTGGCCTTATCTGATCTTGTCATTTATACTAAAGCTGAGAAGTTCAAAAGCTTTCAATATTCAAGACTATATCAGCAATTTAATGAAAATAATTCTATTGGTGAGACACAAGCTCGAAAACTTTCAAAGACGAGAGGTAAATGCTTATGATTCAAACGATGCAGTATTTAAATCAGTTATATATAGGTTGAGGTGGATCAATGATACTTACATATTTATATTCTCATAAGATTTCAACATACTTAACATAATTTAGATAGGGTTATACATATGCCTAAGGTTATGCTAAATTTTATTCCACAGTACTTAGCTGCTATTTACCTTCTTTGAGTCATACAATTTTGATTAAATGTCCAGCATGGACCCTTTTGTGGATGGGACCCTGGTGAGTGGTTTATGTGACACAGCAGGGGGTCACAGGTTGCAGAGGCAGGCTGAGCATTTAGACTTTGTCTTGGGTGCAAAGGTGAGCAGGAGCCAGACTGCAGCCTCAGGAATGGCCTGATCTGCTGTGTATTTCTGAAAGATACCTCTGATGACATTGGCTGCAGGCAGAAAGGAGATGAGGAAGCCTTATGGCAGGGCAGAGAGAGTGGAGACAGGAATTTTGTAAATTCAACAGCATTGAAGAGGAAGAGTTCATTAGACTTGGAGGCTGTGTCTAAGAAGAGGAGAGGGAAGTACCCAGGCTGGACTACTGGATTGATGTGTGAAGTGTGCATGGCCATGGCACACCTCCAGAGGTTCCACCTGTCTCTGCATCTTCTTCTAACTGCCTTCTGACTCTAAATCTGAAGGAGTTCTTCTGTTTGGTTACACCAGAAATAAAATAATCCTGGGAAGGAGAATGGGAAACAGACCATCTTCTTTTTAGATATTATAATAGAAAGTGTCACAAGGGATAGGCAACTAAGTTAACAGGTGACTCACTAAATCCTTCTTATAAGAATTGCACCCAACCATCTTGTGTAGAAACACTGCAGCAGGAAAATCAGTACCAGCAATTGGCTTGAGAAAACTTGTTTGGTATTGCAGACTAATATGCTTATTGGTTAACCTCACTGGGGCAGCCTTTTGCCTCAGCATTTTGAAGTATGTTTTAGTTCATATTTCGAAACTAACTATTAGAAAGATCCTGGATATTTTAAGCCCACCCCCATGTTTGCTTTTTTTTTTTTTTTTTTTAAAGAATAAAACAAAACAGCCAGGCACAGTGGTACACGCCTGTAATCTCAGTGGCTTGGGAGGCTGAGACAGGAGGATTGCGAGCAAGTTCAAAGCCAGCCCCAGCAACTGTGAGGCGCTAAGCAACTCATTGAGACCCTGTCTCTAAATAAAATCCAGAATAAAACTGGGGATGTGGCTCAGTGGCCTAGTGCCACTGAGTTCAATCCCTTATATCCCCTCCCCCCAAAAAGGAATAAAACAAAACAAAAACCACAATGGGTTATAACCAAAAATCAATATAATAGATCTGGACTACAGTTAATAGAATAGGGTAGAGTAGAATAGTGCAGAATGAAATGGAAAGATAGAATACAATGTAATATTTCAGGCAGTAAGAATAAGCACTGTTTTATGAAACAGTCGTGTGCTTATGTGTGTGTATGTGTGTGTTTGGTTGATATGTAAAATGTATTTCTTGCTGTGTGATATGGTCAAGAGAGTTTGAATGTTCTGCTTTATTGACTGGCCTCTGTTCCTTCAAAACTATTGGAAATTTGTATTATTTATGAGGACAAGACCTCTGGGCATAGCAAAAGTGGTTATAATTCTTTGAATCTCATCATATTAAAACTTGCAAAATTTTTTGGAAAGAATTGGGTAGTGCTAGGTAGAATCTTAAAGTGCAGCATTGTTGTCTGATTTCAGAGAGTATAGAGCTTTTTTTGCACAGTCAGTAGTAACTAATTAATGAAGTTGGCAAAGGTTTTAACTGCAAAGATACCTAGTATTATTGCAAATATAATAAACATTAAAAGAATGTAGTAGATGAAGTTTATTGAAATGGAAAGATTCTCACATTAATAATAAAGAAAGGCAGTTTGTAAAAGGGAATAAACAATATTATTCAGTTTTGAAAAATTAGCATATAAATAGAAAAGAATGGAAAGATATATACCAATCTGTATCAGTGGTTCTTAACTGAGTGATGATATTACATGTAATTTTATTTCTTCTTGTTTTGTTTAATTTCTCCATATTTCTATAAAGGACTGAATTACAAATTACTACATTTGTAATATCAAATCATGTTTAATATCTAAAGTTAAATCTCAGAAGTGACAAAATCATATTATGTAATGGGCCCTCAGTGATTAATCATATATTACTCTGTACATGAGAAACATTAAGACCTGGAAGGGTATGTGTTTTGCCTAAGGACAGACATCCCTTAGAACTAAATAAGAGAGCATGATACACCCAGGCATGTTTACATGAATGGTTTCAAAATAACTTTCAAGGAGAGTGCAACTTTCAAAAATAAGTATTGATGAAAAATTAATTGTAATTTAAAAATTGACAATACTTTCTAATGAGTAGTTTTTAGGGTGAGGGAAGAAATGGTTTTGTCCTAGTTCCATTAGCAAATATAGTGGGCCATACACAATTACTGCTTATCCCACAATTGGCCATCATACTAGCAGGAATGGTTATGGGAACAGGATCTGGTTAGTAGAAGAAGAAAATATTGGAAAAACATGAAATCTATGTTTGAAAATTTACTGGAGTTCTAAATGATAAAAGGTATGTGTTAGTTTTAAATCTCAAGTAATTTAAATAGAAAATAAATAAATAGAAATACCAAGAATGTTGTACATAGACATTATTTCAGTAAGAAAGATATTGAGGGTAAATAACATTATTGAGTGGTGGTGAGTTTTTTAGTGAAAGACAGTAGAGATTTAATGAATTTGGGGAGAAGATGATGGAGTGGAGGGGTGGGAGCTGAACTGAATGAACTGAGGTTATATTAGGACCTGTGAATCCGTGAAATGATCAATCAAATTAATTTAGCTAGCATCATATTGCTTCATATGACTTACCATGTGATTCTATCCTGATGTGAAAATCAAAGTTAGAAGAAATGGGGAAAGATGTTACTTTTGTTTTAAAAAAAAAATATATTTTATTTTGGAAATTTTATATATTCTTATAGTAAAATGAAGCTAATTTGGATTTGGGAAAAAAGAAATGTAAATGAATTCATTCTTTTATTCAAGTGAATTATCAGTGCACATAAATTGGGTAATGAAATTATTATTAATCAACAAATATGATTTATACTATATAAAAGGCATGGGATTCATTTTGATTTTCCTGAATTACTAATAGATTTGCCAAAATAATATGTAACAACTTTATTGAAACTATTGTAGAATTATATAATACATAGAAGTAGTAGTTTATTTATTTTAAATCTTTCACAATGTTTTAATAATTTTTCTTGTAGCCTATGAGTTTATTTTTCACACCAAGAATTTCATTACCAGAATATATCCTAAAGCAACAAGAGCAGACTCTTCTAACTTTAATCCTCAAGAGTTTTGGAATATAGGTTGTCAAATGGGTATGTTACATTGGGTTGTTTGCAAAAGTAAGTTGAATTAATTTTATGAATTAATGAAAAATACATGAAAACAGCTTCCTGTGAATATGAATATGAATGAATATATATATATATATATATATATATATATATATATATATATATATATGTATGTATATTTGTCACTGGGGGCACAAAGTGATGAAGCATTGATTTCAAGATTTGAAGTCATTCCTAAATAGGTTGAAGAGGGTAAATCTAGATGAGGGCTGGTGACATGGCAACCAAATTCATGAGGAGTTATCATGGGACATATGTGGTGGAGGAAGGGAACAAACTGAAATAGATGTGCAGACAACATAGAAGATCACATTCCTTTGCCAGAAAGTCAGGTTCAAGTCTTTTTCAGATCAACTGACCTCTGTCACTTAAACTTTGTAGAGATTCTATATTCATAGTCTTGAAAAGTGAGTAGGATCGCACAGTGTGGCTATTTGTCCATATAAGTTTCTCCTTATTCTAACGGAACAGCTGGTGCAGTATTGGCACTAGCCAGTCGGAAAGTGCCTGGTTTTAGCCCATCCTCTATGGGCTGTGGCAAGGCTGGTAGACTTGAGGAGAGTGGGAGACTGGGCCCTGCCGGGGCTACTGCATGCAGTGGCTACTTATTAGGCTATATTAAGTTACTTCTATATTTTAGCAATTATCATCCTGTTTCTCACTAATCCTCACATGATAACAGCGCCCATTTGACCTGAAAGTCTGTGATATAGTTGGTATCTTCACCTCTGACATTTAAAGTACCAATTTTTAAAATTTTTATATTTCTTGAACTTACCTGACATGTGGTTTGTTTACTGTGTAATCTACACTGTGTACCATTTTGACTTCTTTACTCAAATCTAATTTAATTTACAGATTAAACTTTTCACCCCACCAACATACATTAATACAGACACGGCAGGAGGAAAAAGTTTAAAAATCATAAATCATTAGGCTGGTGATGTTTGTTCTCAGAATATTTGAAGCAAAATAACCGATGGTTAGATTTCAGTAAGTCATTTAACTGTGTCTTTTTAATTGTACCCCTAATTTCCTGACAATGTCAAAACACTTCTTTCTCACAGTGGCCTTGAATTTCCAAACTCCTGGTCTGCCCATGGATCTGCAAAATGGGAAATTTTTGGACAATGGTGGCTGTGGATATATTTTGAAACCCCACTTCCTAAGAGATGCTAAATCAAACTTTAATCCAAGTAAAATAAGAGACAGCAATCCACTTACACTTACAATGAGGGTAAGATTGATGACTTTTACTTATTTTGATTACTACATAAATAAGATAGCATACATTAATATTTTTGAATTCCATTAGTTTTCTTTAATGCCTTTTAAGCTTATGTTAAATCATTTCAGGTACTACTATAAATTTGGTGATATTTCAACATTTTTTCATATCTGAAAAATGCCTTTCTGTTGCATCTTTACATGAATGATTACCTGCCTGTGAATAGAAATATTGAGGCCAGAACTTTCTCTTCTCAAAGATCTATTTATACTATTCCATTGTATCTCAGCATTTAACATTGTTATAGAGAGGTCTGAGTTCAGTCCACTGATGACCTTGCTACTTTTTTTCCCCCTCTTTAACTTTAAAGAATAAAGTTCCACCAGGAAATCGCTGGAGCTGTCTTCTTTACATTAATCTCCAGAATTAATCTTTTGTAGTTCAGACCTTTTCCTCCCCTTATGTCTATGAACATGATTTGATTGCTTAGAAAGGAAAAGTGTCTGTATGCTTTTCTCCAGTATCTGTCCTTTATGTCTACCAATTTATGTCAACTTTAGAATGTTCCCCTCTCCTCTGCATTTTAGGAGAGCTTTTAACATTTGTTCTGTCTGTTGATTTTAGTCTTCATTAGTTTAAATGTCGGTGCAAAGTTTTCCCTCGCAATATCGGTCCCTCTTCCCCAGTTGTTATTTACCTCATACGGCTTCCTTTTTAATGTCTCCATCCTACCAGTGCCCTTCTCTCAGACTCTGGTCTTATTAATTCATTCTCATATTTTGTTTCATAACATCCTGTGTCATTTCATTAACAACAAAAGCAGTCATCTGAAAAATTTTTTTTCTATTAGTAAAGATTTTTCTGAACCTCCTTCTTAGTCTTTATAACCTAAATAGAAAATTTATATACTTTTAAAAAATGTCACTGAATCTTTTGAGAAATCTCTACTTGCATTTTTTCCTCCACTTAATTGTGAGCAACCCTATTTTAAACTATACTAGCACCTCTCATTTGCAAATAAATTGGGTAGGTATAGTCTCTTTGGTCCCCTTCTATTTAACTAGTTGTTTCTAGAACCACATGAATCCCTATCAGAACCCATTCTGGAATTTTGGTGAAGACTGATATTTCTATTTCTGGATTGATTTATTGTGTCTCGTGCTGTTACTTAGTGCAGTTTTGTTGGCTCTTCTGAATGTTTAGAGCTCTTGTCCCTCATTATTTGGATGCCAGAGGCCCTGAAACAGTGAGCTTGAGTATGCTTCTCTGGAAACTCTTCCTACCCCAGCTCTTTCCACTATCATGACATCACATGGTTTGGGAGACAAGTCTTATCTACTTCAGGCCCTGCCCATTTTAGCTCAGCAGTCAATGGGAGTTTTGAGAGTTGTTTTCCAGAAATTAATGTGGAAAGAGTATACAGTGAAGATGAATGGGATTGAAATGATGGTGGCCATGGCCAATGAATGATGGAGCTGACTTTGCTTCTGGCTGTCCAGGATTTTGTGACCCTAAGCTAGGAGCATCTGCTGGAAAGGAAGAAATTGACTAAAATAGTGGATTCACCAAAACTGATTAGTTGACACTCTTTCTAGGATCTGGCAAAATAGTGACCATTGAGCTTATTATATAACATTACTGTAGTGTTGACAGCCTTTCTGCATCTTGTAAATGGTTGATCTAGTGAGAATAGGTGTATCAGCCTCTTGTAAGATCCTTCCCATTCCACCTGAATCTCTCTTTAATGCCTTTTAAGACATATTCACTCTCAATTTAATCTGCCACCTGAGAGATTCTGTCTCACTTTCCTTTCTAACTAAATATTGTTTTAATTTTCTTTCACAAACATTCATTGTTTAACCACCAACAATACTGAAATCTTTAATCTGACCTAACTTTTAGAACCTAAGAGTATTTTAATATCTATCTATTTAATCACTATCTATTTAATCACCAGGCTGTCAAACTTAATATTTTGAAACCTAAACATCTCTTCGTAGTTAAATCTACTTTTGATATATTTTTTTAAAGAGTGAGAGAGAGAGAGAGAGAGAGAGAGAGAGAGAGAGAGAGAGAATTTTTTAATATTTATTTTCCAGTTCTCAGCGGATACAACATCTTTGTTTGTATGTGGTGCTGAGGATCGAACCTGGGCCACACGCATGCCAGGCGAGCGCGCTACCGCTTGAGCCACATCCCGAGCCCAACTTTTGATATTTTATTTATTTGTCAATGAATGGTACCACACATACAATCAGCTCAGACTAGAATATGGGAAGGAACAACTCAATCTTATACATCTTCCTCGTCTTTAAATCCTGCTGATTCTACTCCTATCATCTCACTTATCTGTTCTGTAGTCTGATCTCCTATGCTGCTGCCTGATTTCAGAAATTCAGTCACTGGTCCTCTTTGGCTTCCTAAGGGATTTTCAGGTATCCTGTCTCAGTTTTCTCCATCCTTCTTCTGCAAGTTGATTAGAGAGACTTAGCTACAATGCTAATCTTATCTGCATATTTCATATTTATTTTTGCTTACTGATTTATTTTCTACTTAGGCCTTGACCTACTTCTCTATCCCTATTTCTCACCAGTTCTAGCCCTAACTTTATTCTACACCTACATGGAAGTAGGATCCTTCTCTGATCATGATCCACCTCTATGTTGCATATGCTTTTTCTTCTGACCAAACTTTTCTTCCATCCTTCTCCTCCTATTGCATTCTGACTCATTTTGCAAAACTTAGGAATCACTTCCTTTTGAAAGATTTTTCCTTGGCTGGGTTGTAGCTAGGTTTGTATTCTCCCTCTATTTTTTCCATCACACCCTATTCATGCACAAGCTATAGCACATACCACACATTATTATCATTTATTGACTTGTTATTTAACCTTATCCCCTACTTGTCTGTGGATTCCTTAAGGATAAGAATCGTGTTTTGTTCAATCTTCTTTATAGTAACTAACACAAAGCCTATGCTCAATACATGTAAGTTAACTGAGTGAATGATTTCTTTTTCCTGTTGAGAATAGTAAAGAGAATATATGTACCCATTTATCAGAAAGAGAATGTGGAAGATAGTTTGTGTGCACAGGTTCTTACAGATGCCACCTGCTAGCTGTTATGGTTGGATATGTGGTGTCCCCCAAAAGTTCATATGTGAGACAATGCAAGAAATTTGGAGGTGAAATGATTAGTTTATAAGAGGTGTAATCTGATCAGTGGATTAACCTGCTGGTATGGAATAACTGGGCAGTAACTGTAGGCAGGTAGACTGTAGGCAGGCTGGAGAAACAAGCCTATTGGGAATGTGCCTTTGGGGTTTGTATTTTGTCCTTGGTGAGCAGAATTCTGATGCTTCCTGGTTTCCATGTCCTGACTGCTTTCCTCTGCTATACCCTTCTGCCATGATATTCTGCCTCAACTCAGATCTGGAGCTATGGGGTTGGCTGACCATGAACAGAACCTCTGAAACTGTGAGCCAAAGTAAACTTTCCCTTCTTTATGTTGTTCTTTTCAAGGTCTTTTAGTCATGGCAACAAAAAAGTTAACCAAAACCCTTGTATTCTGAAGTTTCATAGAGGTATAAGTGGGGTGCAGTTAGACAGTCAGAGCTAGTGGTTCTCTCAGCCATGGCTGTGTGAATTCTTTCTTGATTATTCTGTGGAGATTTGTAGTAACTTCATGACTTGCACACATTGTGTGGAACATGACCTGGAAATCAGAAGGGATAATTTTACTCTTGGCTTTCTTATGTTCCCCATGTAGGCATTCAACATTTCTGGTTTAATCTTTGTCATCTACAAACAGCATTTAGGTTTAGGTCAGTTATTTTCAAACTTATAAAAACATGGAATCACTATCTAGATTCAAAATCTTATGTGTAAGACCACAGGATGAAAGAGCCACTCTGATTGCCCAGCGGCAGGGTTTTCTGTTTGACACCCTGTCTTCGGCAGTGCCTCTTACAGGGGCTTTGTTAATTAGAGTTTCATATTCAATTATGTATACTAAAATTAGGAATTAGGCAATGTTTTATTTTGTTTGGCCTGAGGCTTACCAAAGCAGAGCTTCTCCATTTTGGTAAAGGTCTGCTACCTGACTTGCTGATAGTTAGCTGGTACACACTGATATTTGGGACCAGTGTACTACAGGTCTATGTGCTTTCTAAAAACTTGATATGTAATTATGCTGATTGAGGCCCAATGAATATTGATTGCTAAATATTTGTAATCACTCAGGTTTCTAGCAAATACCATAATAAATGTCCCTCCTTCTAACCCTCTGTACATCTCTCCCACCCTCCTTCTATTTTTCTTAAAAAAAAAAAACCCAAAAACCTAAATTAATTATTTATTATTCCTCTATATAGTCTTCAGGAATTAAAGTTATGACCTAACTTCCATTTCTTACCCTAAGTTAGTACATTATAAATACCTTTTTGGATTCAGTTTGTTCCTAAAAGTAAAGCAAAGTTCTGCTTTAATAATTAGCTTGGCTAATAAATATCTAAGTAAAACTATTATTAATTACTTTGTTTAACATTCTTTTGATACCCAGTCTCTAATATGCATATGAGATATGTGATTTTTATCAAACTTAGGTTACTTATGACAATACAGATAAAATGGATAATGCAAAATTTGATAAATTATTCAAACATTCATTTATCGGAAAATATTATAATGAATCATGAATTTTTTTTTTACATTTGAGAAGGAATATTCATTTTACTTTTAATTTTTTTCAGTATACTTAGTATGAATTTAGGGATAGCACCTGGTATAAGAACCTCCCAGCCAGAATTCCATAAAATATGGTAATGACTCAAACCCTGGATCTTGTGGATTCTGCTGTACTAAACACATTTTAGTAAAATGGAATGATTTAGACATGGTCTTAGTATTTATCTATTGATACTTGAGAGCAAAAGACTTCGATTCTAAAATTTGCCTTGTGTTACAGATTCAATTTTGTAGGAACTGATAGAGTCTATCAATTTTTTTAGAATATGCAATTGATTTTATTTTGAAATTGTGTTAATGCAGTTTAATATTCTGCTAAATTCTCATGTTCATATGCATTTGTGCAGCTCATCAGTGGTATCCAGTTGCCTCTTGGTAACTCATCCTCTAACAAGATTGACACATTAGTGATTGTGGAAGTTTTTGGTGTTCCAAATGATCATATGAAACAGCAGACTCGTGTAGTTAAAAAAAATGGTGAGCTCCTAATATATCTTATTAGTCTTCTTGTTGGAAAGCTTGCAAATTACACACACACACACACACACACACACTTGTTATTCGTAAGGCAAAGGTTGTTATGTTCAAGATTACCGAAATGTTAACTGAAAAACCGTTCAATAGTGATGAGGTTATTTAGGTATGTTTTCAGATAACAGATAGAAAAATTAGAATAATTTATCTGACATGCAAAATTATTGCTGTTTTCACTTTTACCTCCTTTTTATGTTTTCTTCCATATTTCTGAGAGACATTTTGACAGCTGCAAATCTATTTAGTGTGTAATCTTTGTATTAAATGAAAAATCTCATGATTGTTCTGACACAATGTATTACACATTTTTACCTCACTACTTGAATTATTTTAGATCAAAGACATGTAGCTTCTGACTCAGGCTAAAGAAGTCATAAAAACCTACTGATCCAATATTTAGATTCATAATGCAGTCATTTTTGCCAAAAGAGAAGTGCAGGATTGGAAGGAATGACTTAGGTAAGATTTTCCACCTTCCAGTATCCAGAGACATTTTATGTAATTTCAGTACTGGAATTATCATTTCTTCTCTGAGGTTGAAATTACCTAGGAAATATGTTGAAAAGGATAGGCTCCTGGGATTAAGCCCTAGTCAGGATCACCTTAGAGGAGACCTTGGAACTGATCCTTGCATCTGGAATCCTCTTTAAATAGATATTTCCAGAGCATAGTGTATTTCATTTCAGGGTCTGGAAATATGCTTTAGACTAAATGACATTGGGAGAGGATCTGGTGTGGTCTTGTTCTTCTTCTTTCTTAAAAATTTTTATTTGTTCTTTTTAATTATACATGACAGTAGAATCTATTTTCATATATTTATACAAGCATTGAATATATCTTATCCTAATTAGGATCCCAGTCTTGTGGATGTTGAAATTCAATGTTGAAAAACAATGTTGAAATTTACTGTGGTTGAAGCAAAGTGTGAAAGATGATATATCAAGAACTATGTAATGTTTTGAACAACCAACAATAAAAAAAAAAAAAAAAAGAAAAAAAAAAAAAAAAAAAGAAATTTACTGTGGTATATTCATATATGTACCTGTGAATATATATATATATATATATATATATATATATATATATGTGTGTGTGTGTGTGTGTGTATACATATATATATATGTGTGTGTGTGTGTGTGTGTATATATATATATATATATATATATATATATATATATTTTTTTTTTTTTTTTTTTTTGCAGGGGGTTGTTGTACCAGGGATTGAACTCAGGGGAGGGGGGTGTACCAGGGACTGAACTCAGGGGCACTGAGCCACATCCCCAGCCTTAGTCTTATTTGGTATTTTATTTAGAGACAGGGTCTCACTGAGTTGCTTAGTGCTTTGCTTTTGCTGAGGCTGGCTTTGAACTTGCAATTCTCCTGTCTCAGCCTCCCAATCTGCTGGGATTACAGGCATGTGCCACCACGCCCAGCTGAACATATATTCTTATATGTCAGATTAATTCCGCAGCCTTTCCTATTCCCATCCCTCTGCTTTTCCCTTCATTCCTCTTTGCCTTATTCACTGAATATCTATACTCCCTCTCTCCTCTTGTTGTGGCTTATTGAACACACATCAGAGAGAATGGTACACCTTTGTTTTTTTTTGGGATTGGCTTATTCCACTTAGCATGGTAGTCTCCAGATCCATCCCCCAAATATGGAATACTTCACAAACTTGTGTGTCATTTTTGTGCAGAGGCAAATAATCTCTGCATAATTCCAATTTTAGTGTATGTGCTGCTGAAGGGACCATAGTCTTATTTTTCTTGAATGATAATTTTGAACAATGTCCACAGACTGCTTCATTTGCACTCTCCTAATCCTTTCTCAGCATGGACTCTAAAGCAAAAGTCATGGAAAAAAAAGATTTGGGAAATTTTTGCTGCCTTGTTGCAGGTTATCCATTGGATGGGATATTGGTGAGGAGTTATTGCTTTATTTGTCACCCCTTAGATTGAAGTCACATTCCAGTGGCAGTGTCAAAAAGTAGTAACTGTTGTGTGAAGAAGCTTAGAGTAAGCCACCTCTTGTTCCCTCCATCCTCTACCTGAGTCTTCATGGCAAAATATATAGAACCAAAATTCTAGAATTTTGATCACATCCCTGAACTTTATGGAACTGTTCCATAGAAATTCAGTTAAGTTCATCAAATCAGAGCTCTTGCTATGCCAAAGACCTGGTGCTCTAACAAGTATGAAAGGACTTAAAATTTCTGTTTATTAAATATATTATGTATTTCCCAATTATTAAATATATTATCCTGTATTTATCAATTAAATTTATTATAGATAGCTTACAGTTCAGGTAAAGAGATGAGATACAAGTAAAACATTATGATGTGAATTCCTTAATTCTTCAAAGAGAGTAGAAAGAACTGTATGGGCAAAGGGCATTATTTAGAGATGGCTCTTGGAGAATATGTAGATTTTTTTTGCATAGATTGAGAATAAGGGCATTTAAGGAAGAAAGACTAATGAGTCCTAAAGCATAAAGAAGACACAATTTAAACATGCTGGGGAAAAGCCAAGAACTCAGGGTGGGTGGAGTACAGGGTGCCTAGGAAAGGTTAGTGAAAGCAAAAGAAGAATATAATATTGGAGGTGGTCATGGAAAATTGCAAAAACCACACTGAGCTCTTTTGGACTTTCTTAAGATTTTTAGAACAGGAATATGATACTAAAACAGAGTTCAGTGTTAGGAGGATTGTGTCTGTAGATCAGGTGGGAAGAAGGGTATGAGAGGGAAATAAGAAATAAAACAGAGTCAGGGTATGAATTCAATGAAGAAAAGATGTAGAAATCAGGTGGTAAGGAAAGCTGTGACATCAGAAAAGTAATAAAGGAATGTGAGGAACATTGTGCAGGAGTAAAGGTCTAGATGAGTGGACAAGAGGGATTGCAAGAGTTTAACAACTGCGGTGACAGTAATGTCATTATCGACATGAGAGTCTGGGAGGAAAAGGATCATATTTGGATAAAGTGAGAAGGTAACTCCTTAGTTTTTGTCATATGTAGAAACTACATTAACCTCTATCAAATTCCATATCCTGGATTACCTTTATTTTGACAACCTAAAGTTAGGAGACTCTCATCTAATACACATTTATATATATATGTGTGTGTGTGTGTGTGTGTGTGTGTGTGTGTGTGAGAGAGAGAGAGAGAGAGAGAGAGAAAGAGAGAGAGAGTAAGACAGACAGAGACAGAGGGATATATAGTGATACAAAGGAAGGAAAGGAGGTAGAAATGGTAGATATAATGAATGGGGTTGGAGAAGGACAAATATAATTCATTTTTAAGAATTTTCTGTAGACAGTGTGTAGTGTCTATAAAGAATTAACTCTAAATCTTCTCCTGAACTCTATATGTTTCTTTCTCTTCTTAGGTCAAGGTAATAAAGTTATTATCCCAGCATGAGCCAATTAGTTTACAGTTTCCATGGGCATAGACCACATCCTGGATTGCCATTTGCTAAATGTGCCTTTATGACCACAGGTGCAACTCAGAAAATGTAGTGTTAGTATAATTAGTCACAAATTCATCAGTGCTTCTGAAAAGAACAAAAACTATTGACATAGCAAGTGTAGCATTCCTTTATACCTGGAAAACAATATATATTATTTCTTTCCAAACCCTTGAGTATTTACTGAGTAAAATATATATTTGATCTGAATGTGAGTATCTTGATTCCATTAAATTATGCTCTACATTTTGTAAAAGTTGGGTCATATTGTAAAACCATTTGGATTTCTTGCTTTGGCAAGGAATTGGTTGTTTTGGATGAATTATTTTGTCAGAGAACAAAATTATTCATCCACTTTGGATCTTGAAATGATCACTTAGTCAAAAGAAAGATGAAGATCTAGCTTTAGAGAATTCATTATCTAGCTTTTAGTTCAAAAACTATATATGGAGATATTTGTGTCATAGGACCTGGAATCGAGAAATGATGTTAACTTCTTCATGTCTCAGTTTGTTTGTTAAGGGAATGCCTAGGAACATCAGTCATATTGCAGGATGATTTGAAGTTTCTGCTCTGAAATCAGACTCCCTGTGTATGGACTCCTCCACCACTTAGTTCCTATGTATGTGAAACCCTAGGAAGTTCTGTAACATCTGTGGCTCAGTTTCTTATCTGGGAATGGGGGCAGTAATAATCCTGATGAAGTCATTGTGAGGATTAAAGGAGGTGATCTATGTAATCTTTTTAGAACATAGCTTAGCCAATATTGTTACTATTATAACTTATTTCTCTCATTGAGAGAATTAAAAACTCCAGTGCTCTGAAACACAAGTTATGTTGTTATTATTATCAAAGTGTTGAAAAATTTGAAGAGTAATGGTTACTTATTTTTTCCCTAGAGATGGTGTCTATGATTTTTTTTTGTATCTACTCCTTTATATTTCAGCTTTTAGTCCAAGATGGAATGAAACATTCACATTTATTATTCAAGTGCCAGAACTGGCATTGATACGTTTTGTTGTTGAAAATCAAGGTTTACTAACTGGAAATGAATTTCTTGGGCAATATACTTTACCAGTTCTATGCATGGACAAAGGTAATGTTCTTAAAAGTAAGATGATTATGTGAACATTAAACATATCTTGTCTTTATCAAAGGCACACTTTGAAATCCAAACACCTCTGTCTATTGAAGTAAGATGTAAAGGAAAATTTATGCATTCACACCTATTTTCTTTCCATGGAATTTCAGAAATGTCTTCTCATGTGTAAGGTAGAGTGGGGATGTGGGCTTCCTAGGAACACTTAAGTAAATAAACGTGGTGTGTGTGTGTTTCTTTACATGGATCATAGTTCTCTGTCTCAGTGAAGAGTGGTCATAACTACCGTAAGGAATAAGGGAAAGGGATCTGACTTATGGAAGAGGCAATAATAATTCACTCTTGCCTGAGGAAAAGAGACTGGGGCCAGAGATGATCCTTGTCCCACCCTTTCCAAGGCTGCCAGGGTGATTTATACTATGCTCCTAATTACCTTGCTTCAGCATGCTAACTTTTCTAACATCATCTGAGGTGTACCTAGGAAACAGAGTCTTCTCGAAGCAGAGAAGTGGCTAATTTTGGAGTACGCTGTGTGCTCAGTTCAGGCGCACATAATTCTGGAAGTCGGAATAGAAACTGCAAGTATTTAATTTTTTTGTGTGGAAAATTAACATTCAAGATGGAACTATAATTCTACAGCCATGGTTTTAAGTGTACATTTAGAAAAAAGCACCTTCTTTCTCAGTAGCGCTTTTGGGTTCATAACTGATTAATTTGTTGTTATTGTTTTAATTCAATACAATTCCTTTTGCAGGTTACCGTCGTATTCCTCTGTGTTCCAAAACGGGTGAGAGTCTTGAGCCTGCTTCACTGTTTGTTTATGTTTGGTACATCAGATAGCAACAGAGAGTACCTGACACATTGTTAGCTATACACCACAATAAAACAGCCAAAATGAATGTCCATAGCTTTTCTTTTTTTTAACATAAAGCAAAATATTTATGTATAAAAACAGAAATATTGAACTCATTCACTTCATCAGGACTTTGCTTTAAATAATGCAAAATAGAGCAGTGGAAAAACAAAAACAGGTACTTCAGTGGGTTCCCCCTTTTCTCAGGTGGGGTTCTTATCTGCTGGTTCTCTGTCCTTATCACCAACACTGCTTTTTCAACTTGCTTCCATCATTTTTAATGAGTAGGACTTACAAGCTTTTAAAACATGTCTGATTGTATAAGATATGTTGGCAAATATTTAACAGTATGAACGATGTGAAGTCTGAGTGTTTTAACTCCCAGGCACCCACTACTGCATATTTTAGTGAGAAGAAATTAGATTGCCAGACCCTCTATGCCCTTTTTTATCCTTGAGAGTAATTAGCCCTGAATCTCATGCTAGTTCTTAGATACTGTGCACTGGATTTGGTACCTTGTAATTATACAGACATCTTTATAAGTGCATATGAAATTGATGTGCATTCAAACTATATTTAGGCTCCATATCTATAAAAGAAAGCTACTATGGTGCCTTGCATGCTTGGAGCTTGAATTAATTTGCAATATTCTGATTCTGTATTAAGTGAACTTTCAAGACTGTCTCTGGGTCAGCATAAGATTCCTGTGCTACTTCTCACACTGGACTTCTCACCATCTGCAGGACTTTGCTTTACTAAATGCTATGAAAAATATGAATCTTTTAAAACTGTTCTTCAAAACACCAGGGGTTTTAACACTTATCCTGCCATATTGTTGTCTCATGGTGATGTGTGAAAGCCCTCAGGACAATGTTTGATAAATAAAGGTGGTCTCCAGTAGATACTTGTTGAAACTAAATCCAATCTTTGGACAAAACAAAACAAAAATGACTATTTGTTTGAGATGTATAATAATGTATTATTTCTTGATGACCACAAAATGTAAAATAACCCATCAAGCATATTTGATATTTATTTACCCTCAGCAACAAATATTAAAAATACAAATACCTGTGTGAATTTAAATTTCCAAGCCATAAATAGTCAGATATATCCTAGATTACTCAATGCTTAACTTACAGATTCACATGAACTGTCTGGATTTAATTTTTTGGAAAATTAATATTCCACAGAGTGCATTTTTCTCAGTAGGCGTGCACAGCCAGTTCTTAGAGGGATGTTTCCAGTTTGCAGATGACGATAGATAGATCTTATTTAAATCATCTGTTGTCCAGCCTGACAGCAGGTGGGATGTTCAGCTCATTGACCCAAGACTTTAACCTTCTCTAATCTCCTAAAGCCATTTGAAGATCTGCAATCTCATGAGATTTGAAGACTTTCATCAAGTGAGTTTTGCAGGAAAATTCATTAATACTACAGTGAAATTAACTTCTATTTCTGGTCTTTACCATGCAGCTCTGAAATAAGGGAGAAAAAAGGATGCATTTCCTTTTCTTATCTTCAGGTACTCATCAAACTCACCTCAGTGACTTTGAAAATCAACTATTTCATTTTTTAATATTTTACTCTCCATCAGAAATACAATTTGGAGTGCAATATTCTTGTCCAACAATTTTATGATGTCTTATGATATTTTTTTCCCACAAGAACCTTTAATACATAGTACACATAGAAACTCCATGACCAAGGAATGTTCTCACATTTAGAGAAGATTGGGAATAGTGTGAGAAGCCAGCTTTGACTCTTCCTTTTAAAGTGTAATTCATTTGTAAGAAACAGTAATGTTATGAGTTGAGGAAAAAAGAAGAAAAGACTAAATGAACTCCTGGACTGTGGTGACTGAAGACCGTTTAAATTAAACTCAGTTTAAATATCAGTTCCTGGGGTCAGTGTTGTGGCTCAGAGGTACAGCGCTTGCCTAGCATGTGTGAGGCACTGGGTTTGATCCCCGGCTCCACATTAAAAAAACAAAAATAAAATAAACAAATAAAATTAAGGTATAGTGTCCATCTACAATGAAAAAGAAAAAAAATCAGTCTTTCAGGGAAGCCATTCATATTCTCCCAGATAAAGTTGTATTCCTTGGTTTATGCTTCCTTACAACTGATAAAAGTGACAGCTAGGAATTGACTTTACACCATCAACTAAGCCTTGGAGATGCTGGGAGCTGGATCTGGTTCAGTGTCAGGACGAGGTGTTTCCTTGCTGACCATAATGACTTCGCAGAACATCAATTCCAAACAAGGTTGTTCTATGTTATGGAGCAACAGGACAAAAGCAGAGGATCCCTTTTTAATCATGACTCAACACATTTCAACAAGTATGAATATTTTCAAAACACAAAAAATGCCCTATATTGCCAGGTATGGTGGCACATGCCTGTAATCCCAGTAGCTCAGGAGGCTGAGGCAGAAGGATCATGAGTTCAAGGCTGGTTCACCAATTTATGGAGGCCCTAAGCAACTCAGTGGGACATCTTCTCTAAATAAAATATAAAAAAGGGCTGGGGATGTGGCTCAGTGGTCATGTGTCCCTGGGTTCAATCCCTGGTTAAAAACAAACAAATGCTATCCTGGAGCAGGAATGACTTGGTTCTTTACCTTTTGTTTCAGTTTGTTCCTGTGTGTAAGGTTTAGTCCAATCATACCATTGCCCTCTATTTTTGATGACATTCGATATAGAGGAGAGCTTTACTTCCTTGACCCTCCCCTACATCGTCTAACACAGCCTGAATGCAAGAGTGAGCCTTGCTAACACCCTCCTGTGGAGACAACTCTTGAACCCCTATAGCATGCACCTCAATGAGCAATGAGCAATGAAACCAGGTGTGTGACCCCAGTGGTCTGTGGCTAAAGAAGAATGACACAGACTCTTCTTTACTTTGTATGGATCGGTGTGATGGGAAGTTTTACTATGTTGCTAATGTTGAGCTTTTCTTTTTTTCTTGCTGTGTTTTTGGGGCTCGAACAGGAAACATGTAGAGCATGGTCTCCTCACCTAGACTTACCATGGCGTCTGTCTGGGGAATGGTGGGCACTGGAGGATAAATGACAGGCTTGTTGCTGAAGAATGAAGTAATCTTTCTCTGAAAGAGATGTAGTGAAGCTTCTCTGTAGCCATGAAAAGAAGATTTCTATTTGAAATTTTGGTATATGGAAGAACATATTTTTAAAGGAATGCAAAACATGCACCCCCAAAAGGGCTTCCAGCAGGGGAGATTTGGGAGCCACACTGGGAAGAAGCACATGCAGTTAATACAGAGAAAATGGAGTTTCACTTTTGAGTGAAACTCTAATAGTGGGCTTGAAAAACGGATGTTTTATTTGGGGAATATATGAACTGGATTCCATTCTTCAAGAATTCTTAAGACCCTCATTTTCTTGGTACTGCAAAAACATTTGTTAAATTGCATTACTTTCAAAGTAATAATCCTCTGGAAGTCTGTCTATCAACAAAGGATTCTTAGCTCTTAGAACTAAGATGCATTCTGAGTTCTTGGAACACAAAATATGAGCCGTTTGTGAAACTTGGTTCTGTAAGGACTTTGGAAATTTTTCATTTCAAACACCAAAGGGGTGAATTGAAGTGGAATTTGAATGTTTGAGGAGATTGGTCATTTGTGTGTCTCCTGTCCTTATACACCAGCCTAACACACAGTGAGGAGTTGGTTGTAAATGCTTCAACTACCTATCATTTTCAGGGATCAGTGCCTCTGTCTACCTTCAATTTGTGCACAGTTTAATTCATATACTTCAGTTATCTTTCCCATTCTTGTCCCAAGACAGTCACTCTTCTAATGTGATAGACACTATATCTGTAGTGTTAGCAGGGCCTAATGTGCACCTAGTATTAAATATAAATTAACCATAATCCTTTCTGCAATCCTATATTACATGGCATTAATGAACCAGAGCCAGAGACACTGATTTTCCTGTGGTCTATAGTAAATTAAAGAACCAGGAATATTAATCCAGACTAGTCTGAAAGAAAAGAATATTGTCACTTACCTTACACAACCCAAAAGTAATCATAAACTTAAACCTAAAAGTATGAAACTTCTAGAGGAAAGCAGATGAACTACCTTTGTAACCTTGGGGTAGGTTGCAAAGGTTTTGTGGAACATTTAATGATTGAGACATAAGAGAAATGGTAAATTGGACTTCATCAAAATAAAAATTTTTGCTTTTTGTAATACATCATAATGAAAAGATAAGTTAAAAAATATGAAAAATATTGTAACACACAAACACATAGACACATCACCACCACCACCACCACCATACACATTAAAGGACAACCCACTAAGAAAAATGGGCCAAATATTTGAACAGGCACTTTCTACAAGAAAATATGTGAATGACTGGTAAACATATGAAAAGGTGACCAACATGAGGGGAATGCAAAGTAGAACTCCAAGGGCATGAGGACTCCTGCAAAACGAGGCTGTCCCCAAAGCATCCCTTCACCTCCCTTCACCTCTATGTCAGAAAGACTTCAGATATGTTGCTCAGAGTAGCAGTCATGAGTTTATTAGAAGGGATAGGTAAAGGGAAAAGGGATCACTCTCAAGGGAAAGAGTGGGTCCCCTCAGAGAGGAAAGGGATGGTACACCCTGGTGCCCTCCAGTTTCATTGGAGGTCCCAAGGAAATTTCCAGAGAGTCCACCTCTTGACTTTTGATTGACAGCAGGACAACATCAGACTTTCAAGTCTCCACTGTGCATGACAACTCAAGGTCACTTTGGTCCATGTTGGCTAGTTCTAATTGGAACATGTTCTTATAGATTTTATGGTTGGGGGAATTATTCTTACCTCTTTGAGTTCTCAGTTCTGGTCTGTGTAAGGTTCACAAAAGTCTTCCCCATCTTCAGGGCAACCTGTGCTGCTGTTATCAGAATTTTGGGTCTGCATTTCTCCTATGTATAACAGGTAGTTTGCTGAGGAATATAATGTACATACCCTGACTA